CTAGACTCTGACAACTTCATTAATGATGAACATCAGATCTGCAAGGGTAAAACGGAAGAAAATGTTTTACCTTTGGGTTTTAACTACTATATCTTGTAAAAGTTTGGTGTTCCCAAAAGGCTTTCTGGTTACAGTTAAGATAGCCAGCTTTGCAACCCACACTGCTCTACCTAACTGTTCCTAGATACATCTCAGGGACGGATATTGAGATGGGGAGAAATAATTACTTATAATTACTCTCAGAAATCATTTTGGTGTTTGGTGTCTCCTACCAATTTTCTGTGTTTTACTTTCTCGGACTCTTAAGAGCAAGGCGTTCTTTGACGAGAGTTAGGAAGAGGAAGAGAGATATTAAATAAAAATTGTCATTATGTACATCACCCTACCAGATATCTGAATTTTGAAGGTCCATAGAAAAGTCCAAACGCCTCATTTCCATCTTACTGAATGCCTGATCGCCTTTAACCTGTGTTTAAAAGAGGAAGCCCAAAGCTCTGTGGGTTTATGAATGATCGTTAAAGAAACCTCTCTCTTTGCTACCTCTGAGACATTGGAGTCACATTAAGGGCAAAGTGTCATATTGAGATCTGAGATGAGTGAGAGCTGTATCTTTTTTTTGTTACTGTGGTGAAAGGGCTATTATTAACAATGACTCATTTGCCATAGATTGACTGTAAGAACAGCTGCAGTATACATCCAGGATCTGGAAATTAACTCCATTAGAATTCACCATGTGGTCAACACGTGGCTTGGAGGTTAAGGCAACTGAATTCCACATGGTTGACTATGGTTTGAACCCCAGACCTGGCAGCCTGAAAACCATACCTGGCACATGTGCATGTCTACACTAAATCCCAAGATACCGAAACGGAGAGGGGATTGCAGCATGACCATGCCTCATGGGGGAGAAAGCTTTTTCGCTTTCTCTCTCTTTCTGGTGAGCACACACACCCTCCGGCAAAGTGAAAACAAAACTAAAGTAAATAAACTAACTGTGACCACGTACTCCTTAAAAAGCAGTCACATTCCTTTAGGTAAACATATCCCAGTTTGAAAATCATGAATCTGTCACAACCACACAGAATCCACGACGTTACCAGGTGATCTCAGTCCCTAGAAGAGAGTAACAGAAGTACTCCAGGGAGAGTCTGGGAGGTGCGGACAGGACGGCCGGAATGGGCTTGGGGGCAGCACTAAGGAAGCCTGCTGTTCGCGGTCCTGCAAATGCTTCTGCTATCAAACAAAGGGTGCAGAAGGTCCCCTGGCCCCTTGTTAGGGAAGGGAAGTGCATTGCCTTATTGCCAGCCCCCAGAAACCAGAGGGCTGGTGCCGCAAACCGCCTGACTAGGCAGGCCAAAGGGAGACCCAGGAGGGGCATGCCTCATCCGATGAGAATGACGGAGGCGCCTCTCTAGCTCCAATCTACTTTGCTAGTTCTCCCGTTCTCCCACCTGATTTTCACGTGAAATCTTCTCATCTGTATACATTAGCAACTAAGTTGACATTTTTACAAAATGCATTTCAGGCGAAATAAATCTTCAGGTTTTATCAGGGCCATGGTTGTTGCTTAGTAATCACCGAAGACCACAGATGGGGGAACAAAGCAGTCCTTACTCCGCGTGTGCGTCTCCTGCTCTGACTCGGCTGCCTCTCCAGTTTCACCTCTGCCTCAGCAGACGTGAGCCAGGACGGTGCACCGCTAATCCTCACACATGAGTGCTGCGAGCTCAGAGTGAAGCGCGGGGTCAGCCAGCTAGCAACTCAGGCTTTATGGAGGCAGGCGTCGTCCTCACCGACTCACACAACTTCGCACATCCTTTATTCCGGTTTTCCTGCTTTTCACCTCCAATCCCATCCTCTAAGTATTCCTTCTGGGGTTCACAGCACTCTGACTAGTACGTGGAGGACGTAGAACCCTAATACCACAGTTCCTGGGTGCTTTCCTAGCACAGCTTCAGGCTCTGGAATTCCACGGACTCTCGAGAGGTTTTCAGTGGAAAACAGTAGCGTCTTACTTTCAACCCCTGGCCCGTAACCACACTGAGCTCTTTCACTTCAGTTGGTGTGTTGTTTTTAAAATTTGTTAAGAAATTCTTCAGTATTTCTCTTATTAGGAGGGAGGGCCCTTGAGTGAAGGCTATACTTACTGACTGCTTTTTATTCAAGAATTATCTGTCATGGGAACCAGCAGTTAGCGTAATGGCTATGTTGCTGGATTCCCACGTAGCCCGTTCTCCCACCTGATTTTCACGTGAAATCTTCTCATCTGTATACATTAGCAACTAAGTTGACATTTTTACAAAATGCATTTCAGGCGAAATAAATCTTCAGGTTTTATCAGGGCCATGGTTGTTGCTTAGTAATCACCGAAGACCACAGATGGGGGAACAAAGCAGTCCTTACTCCGCGTGTGCGTCTCCTGCTCTGACTCGGCTGCCTCTCCAGTTTCACCTCTGCCTCAGCAGACGTGAGCCAGGACGGTGCACCGCTAATCCTCACACATGAGTGCTGCGAGCTCAGAGTGAAGCGCGGGGTCAGCCAGCTAGCAACTCAGGCTTTATGGAGGCAGGCGTCGTCCTCACCGACTCACACAACTTCGCACATCCTTTATTCCGGTTTTCCTGCTTTTCACCTCCAATCCCATCCTCTAAGTATTCCTTCTGGGGTTCACAGCACTCTGACTAGTACGTGGAGGACGTAGAACCCTAATACCACAGTTCCTGGGTGCTTTCCTAGCACAGCTTCAGGCTCTGGAATTCCACGGACTCTCGAGAGGTTTTCAGTGGAAAACAGTAGCGTCTTACTTTCAACCCCTGGCCCGTAACCACACTGAGCTCTTTCACTTCAGTTGGTGTGTTGTTTTTAAAATTTGTTAAGAAATTCTTCAGTATTTCTCTTATTAGGAGGGAGGGCCCTTGAGTGAAGGCTATACTTACTGACTGCTTTTTATTCAAGAATTATCTGTCATGGGAACCAGCAGTTAGCGTAATGGCTATGTTGCTGGATTCCCACGTAGGTGGCCACGGTTCGCGTCCCGGACCCGGTGACTTAGAACTCACGCCGGGCGCATGTGCGTGCATGCCCAAGATCCCGAGAGGAAAATGGAGGGAAGGGATTGCAGTGTGACCATCCCCCCTGGGGGGGGTGATTTCTCGCTTTCTGTCTCTATGTCTCTCTCAGTCTGTCTGGCGAGCGCATGCACCCTATAGCGAAAACCTCTCAAAAAAAAAAGAATTATTTGTCATCATCGTTATTATTATTTTTCATTTGACCAGAGAGAGAGAGAGAGAGAAAGTGAGAAAGCAAGCTGCCAGGTCTGGGACTCAAACCGCAGTCAGTCATGTGGGAGTCCAGCGCCTTAACCATCACGCCACTGCCAGTCCCCATGACATGTTTCTGACGAACAGAATATGACAGACGATGGTAACTTCTGAGAATGGGCCATCGGCATGTTGGCTTGTTCACAGCTCTCTCTTGAGTCACTTGTGAAGAAGCAGAAATGACGAGGATGCTCCCGCCGTGCTGTGGAAAGACCCGCGAGTGGGGGACCAAGGCACCTGCTGACAGACGTGGACCAAGCCACAGGGGAGCACGTTCTCCAGCCCCAGTCCAGCCTTCAGAAGAGTGGCTCCTGCTGGCATCTTGACTGCAATCTCAAAGGAGAGCCTGAGCCAAAACCACCAGCTAAACTGCTTCTGAATTTGTGACCAAAGGATTCATGAGCTACGAAAGGTTCGTAGCTTGGTAGCTTTGTTTGTAGTGCACACCCAGAACCCAGGCCCGACTACCCCAGGCCTGAACCCGGCACCTGTGGCTTTTCCGGGCTCATCAATGGCAAGAAGGCGGATATGTCCCCTCCCAGCCGTGATAACCCTGGAGACAGGAGCCTAAGGGTGACAGAAATGGGGCTGTCCTGTAAGTTGAAAAGTAACTAAATTCAGAAAGGACTTCTCTTGCATCCAGAGGTATTAACCTCTGGCTGGGTTTATCCAAAGAGAGGTGGCACCTCCACTTGAAAGAACTTTCCTTTGGGTTGAGTAAATTCTGGTGATTTTGTAAGCAGTTGGGATTTAGTTCTGCCCTAAGGCTCCTTTATCTAACTAAGATTAAAAGTCAAGAGTGAACAGAAAACAACCCAAACCTGAGAAGTGCGTTAACTGCAAGTTAAACTCAGTGACCCTAAACTCAAGTCCCTCCACGCGCCTACGCACCAGAGATCTGCGGCCCTCTCCAGCGGCTGAGTCGCCCACGTGGAGGCGGCATCACCTTCAGCTCCTCGTCCGTTTGTCTATGGCTTCACCTCAGAGATTTGTTCCATACCCTGTGTAGGTAATAACTGAACCCAACCAGCCAATTCAGCAACCTGCATGTAAGCCAAGTTACGTCACTCCCATGAAGGATGAGGAGAGGCTGGCAGGCAGTCCTTAGGCACAGCAAGATGAACTCCCAGGACCGCCAGGTTCGGGTCATATTGAGACCTACAGAAGGTTCCAGTGAAGCCTCTTGTATCATCCGCTAGGTCGCTGGGCATATATGAATGAAGCCTTAGTGAGTTAAAACTGTATCTCAGTTTTATCCTCTTAACAAATGTAAGCCTTTTGTGTAAATATTCCATGAAAAAGTAAGGTCAGGTATCTCTGGGTGGAGATAAAGACTCTCCAGAGAGCGTCTTAATGGAATGTAAGAGTGTAAATGTTGAGGTGTGCAGGAATGCTCCAAAAAAGAGAAAAAGTGTGGAAAGAAAGGCTCTGGGTCTAACGCTCCTTTGTGTCCAGAGCAGCTCTGCAGATACCATCTTAATGAGCTACTGGCTGGCCCCTAATCTCCTAAAACCCTCAACGGGAAACAGACAATGAAAGGCAGATCTGACCCTTCCTTTTGATATTTGCCCTGGGGTTTACTGGCCTGGCATTCGGGGCTCTGGGAACACAATTTAGCATGAACCAGTGAAGACATTCAAAGGAGGCCTCCTCAGTGACGAGCCACCAGACGGTTAGTTTACAGCTTGCATATTTATTGAACAAATACTACTAAAGTAGCTAAAATACATTGGGTACTTGTCATGAGCGCATCAGTAAAGATCACATGGTTACAAAGGCCTGCGTTTCCAGCAGCCCACAACTGCACCTCTACGTAAATGCCACGGATGCAGATACTGTTTCTGGCTCTATTTACACAGCTGATAGAACTATTCTAACAAAGAGGGGGCGCACAGGGACTCAGGCTCGTGGGGAGCGAGAAGGAAGAGGGGCAGCGCATGCGTCATCGGTGTTCGACGGTCAGAAGAAACAGTTCAGAACAAGGCCTGCCCTGTCAAAGCAAGAGCTAAGAGACAGTTATATAAAAATTAAGGTGGGCTTTCAGACTGGCTAACACAACAACATTCCATGAGTAGATGGTATTATCTGATTTTAGTTTTTGTTTGTCCGTTTCATTGGGAGCAAGGACAAAAATGTAAAATCTACACCTTGCTTATCAAAACTGCCGAAAGAGTGCTCTGCCTTTGTGTTGTCGTTGTTAATTATTCTTTTGAAAAGACATTTTTTTCCAACTTAACTTTTGGAAAAGGCATAATGTGTGTATCCTACTCAGATGCCAGTGTGTTGGATTGTTTTTTTTCCAGAGGGCATTTACTTAAAAAAAAATTTAAAAAACATGTGCCCTTTTATTCCCCAAATATCCTTTCAAACAAAAAGAACCCAAAGAGACACCTCGAAATGCCTGTACGATTATTGCTTTTCTGTGTCTAAGTCAGGCAGGCGAGGCCTCGGGGAGGAGGAGACTTGGTAAGGAGTTACAGTTTTGTGATTGCTCCCGCTACCATGACCGCACGTCCTGGAGTGCCAGCCCACGAGACGGCGGTCTCCCGCGCGCTGGTAGCACTCACTCAGCCTACAGCACTGGGGAAGAAAGCCACACTGAAGACACAAGGAGAACAAGTCAATCCAGTCGAGAGAACAACATTCAGGGAAACAGAGTACCAACACCTTCTTAGAACATGGAAATAAAAAATAACTCCATCAGAGCTACCTCGCCAAGGAGCATGTTGAAAATCCAAAATAGCACCATTCATCAGTGTCTCAGGCCCTGTGGCAGCATCTCGTCACTAACCACAAGGAAACGATGAGTTTCGAACTACTTCTATACATCAAAAGAGTACATGGGTAAAATATAGAGATCTACAGACAATCGATGAACATAAACTACTAGTCTTGTTACATCTAAATGAAAAAAAAAAAAATGGGGACTCTCAGCCTCTGCATGAAGCAGTCGGGAGCTGTATGAATGAAAGGCAAGAGTGGACCGGTCCTGTGAGCACGGTGGGAGTTGGAGTTGTGGAAGACATTGTTGTAGCGAACCAGGCCTGAAGGCCCACCAGTAAGGGTTGTAAACGTGGATTCACAGTGTGAAATTCTGAGCGTTTTCACTTGAGTCAGAATGGTTAAAAACTGGTTTGATGATACCTAGTTGCCCACTGTCAGTTCTCTAAAGCAAGGCTCAGAGTCCCATAGTTTCTTCATATACTTGATGATTTACACAGAAAAAAATTCCATATATGATACCATGACCTCATCAATACCCACACACCATATGTAATGCAAATGGAGGTGTGACGCTTAAAAAGAGCGGAGGCGACCGATGCGTGGGGCGCGGGGACCACTGCTGCCCAGTGGAGTCAGCCGGGCAGCATCCATCTCGCTGGTCTTCTTGCGGTTTACTTCCTTGGGGACGGGAAGCCTTCCCTGAAAAGCAGATGGATGCACGCACAGGCAGACAGACACACACAGAGAGACAAACTTAGCCATGCTTCTGAAGCCCCTGTTTAAAATTCTGCTTCTCCCACCCACCCACGCTTTATCCTTGAACTCCCGCTGTCCTGCAAACAGAGATGGCACAGTAAACACGGTTCACGAAATGTAAACCTCAGATCTGGGGACACGGTGGGACGCGGCAGTAGCCAGCTTGGGCGCAGTGCAGTCAGGTGTCTCGCTAATGGAAGCGTCACCTGTGAGCACAGGCCCTAGAGCCAGGGAATCCTTCCTCGTATCAAACAGGGGCCAATGTCAGGCTGGGTGAGAGGTGCTCATAGGGTTAGGAATAGACCTTTAAAAAATAATAATAATGAAGTTTGGGGCCAGCAGGTGGTGTAGGGGTTGGGACACTGGACTCCCAAATCCCAGGAGAGAATGGGCGAGAAGGGATTGCAGCATGGCCATGGGGGTAGGAGGTGGATATCTCGCTTTCCGTCTCTATCTCTCCAGCGAGCGCACACACCCTATAGCAAAAATCTCTCAAAGAAAAAGAGTTTAGTGCGTGTGATGGAGGTGACGGTACGTGTTCTGATATCCAACACGAATACTCTACAGCACACCACCATGTGCACGAACCTCACCTGGGGTCTACTCTAAGCCTTTAGCACATGCCCTGTGCCCTCAAAGTCAGAACCAGAACTGGGGAGCAAGGACAGGGTCTGGCAGGGAAATATGTAAGGGGTCTGGGCGTGGGTGCAGGAAAGAGGAAGTTAGTGTGAGTCCCAGGCCAGAAGAAAGCGAGACCTAGCTAGTCCGGGGCTCTGTACACCTCGCCTGGCCACGCTGGTGAGTTCTGAACAGGATCTGAGCAGGAACGGCAATCTCAGGGCTGGCCGTGACACTGAGGCCTCAGCACAGGAGGGCGGGCGCCATGCAACGGCGCTCCACCACAACCGCCAAGCAAGAGGCCAGCCCAGGTCCACTGGATTACGGGCTACACCAAGGTCTTGATCTACCACACGTAGATTCGCTGCCCTGTTCTGATATGAATATTGGGGAGATTTGATAACAAGTCTCTTTTTGAGCTAAACCATGAATTCCTGGAGTTTTCTTTTTTTAAAAAAAAAGCCTTTTGTGGTTTGAAAAGATCTCACTTGGGGCCAGCAGGTGGTGTGGTGGTTAAGGCACAGGATCCCACATGGCTGCCTGGGTGAGGGTCCTGGACCTGGACACAGCAACCTGAAAATCACACCAGGGGCATGGCTGTGTGTGCCCAAAATCCTGAGAGGAGAACCGAGGAGAAGGGATTATGGTGTGGCCGTTCCCCCTACAGGGCGATTTCTCATTTTCCCTCTCTGTCTCTCTCTGGAGAGTGCATGCATCTATGGCAAAAAAACAAAAACAAAAACAAAAAAAATCTGTTTTATTTTGCTAAGGTTACATGTTCTAATGGGACAGTTTTAACAAGCCAGTTTTACTAGATGTTAGTATTGAGGTAAAGAGATCATTTTACTTTGTAGTTTGTAAATTTAAGACATTTGAGTTTCTTTTTAACAAGAATTCAGATGCAAGAAACTTACAACTTGAAACCAAATAAATATTTTCAGCAACTCCAATGGGAACAAAATGCACAGATAACTCGGCTTTAAGAAGACTTGCTTACAGCATGGACGTCCCCTATTACACTCTAGTGTGTCTAAATTTTGTTTAAGCCATTTCAAACTTTGAGAACTTGTAATATTTTGGGGACAGATGAGAAATACCCACTCAGTATTCATCTCTAAATACTAGTGCTCTAGTCTTAGGGTCGTGATTTAGAAGTTGTTTTGTTATCACTGAATACTTATAGGACTGAACCAGAAAATTAAAGTAAAATAGAATTTATCATTCAGGGAACCAGCAGTTAGCATAATGGCTGTGTCGCTGGACTCCACGTAGTCGACCGCGGTTCGTGTCCTGGACCCGGTGGCTTAAAACTCACGCCGGGCGCGTGTGCGTGCGTGCCCAAGATCCCGAGAGGAGAATGGAGGAGAAGGGATTGCGGCGTGACCATCCCCCCTGGGGGGTGATTTCTCGCTTTCTGTCTCT